TATACTAAAAGTCAGCTCTTCCTTCTTTTTTACAATGATTTTCAAAGCAGGAATCCCCCTAGTTGCTTCTATCATCTTCCAGAAAACGAATCTATTAGTGAGAAAAGCCAATAATGTATCAGGTTTTCTACCTTAAGTGGAATGAGGCTTCCAAAAGACATCTTTCCGTATGAGGGCTTCGACACACTTCTGTATCTTTTGTATATTAGCTACATCCCTCCAGCCCTGTATTTTGATAGCATTATCCACCTCAGCCAACTAGTCTCATACATGAACTCCCACAACCGCAGTTGCTAGCACTTCTCTCTTCTGTCTTTTATTTTCACTCAAATACCTTCCAAATGCATACTACCACAATAACCTCGTGATTTCCCCTACAGATGAATGCTATAATAACTTGGATAAGACTTGGTTGTGAGCTATGAGATTCTTATTCAAAAAGGTCAGCAGGAAGATGGTGGGACAGGCTCAAGTGACACAGACATAACATGATCCACCTAAATTTTAGAACTGGCCCTGAGGTGGGATGAGATGAGCAGCTGAAGCTCATTATATAATTTTCCTTGTAGTAAATCAAGCTTGAGTCCATCTGGTTTCCCTGCATTTGTATAAAATAAGGATTATACTCTATATTTTTATATCTCAGTTTTCAAAGATCCACTGTGATTATAATCATTTTGCAATTATTTGAAACAGTTTCAAAGATTACACAATATTAAATCAAAAGAATGTCTTAATTTATTTCACAAGACCCAGTGGAAAAGTGGGGGAAAAAAGTGTTAACCCCTACAACAGCAGTTGCTAGTCCTTTTCTCTTCTGTCCTTTGTTTTCACTCAAATACTTAATACATAAACAGGGAAATATGGCAGCATTATTTCTGACTGTAGGACAAAACTGGAAGTCAGATGAATAGAACAGAGCCCTCAAGTCTAAGACATTGGTAACCACTGCTGAGCAAGGATGGAAAAGCAGGGGCAGCGATCCCTTCATACACATGCAAGTATGCCACCTTTTCTAATCAGCTTAGCTCCATAAATAAAGATTTCTTCGCAGGGAACCCTTGTGCACTGTTGGTGAGATTGTAAATTTGCATAGCCACTTTGGAAAACAGTATGGAGGTTCCTCAAAAAATTAAAAATAGAACTACTGTTGAATCCAAAGGAAATAAAAACACTAACTTGAAAAGATGTCTTCACCCCATGTTCACTGTGGCATTACTCACAGGAGTCAAGACGTGGAAACCACTTCAGTGTTCATTGACAGATGAATGGCTAAAGAATTGAAATATTATTTAGCCATAAAAAATGAGGAAATCCTGAGCCAGCCCTGCTGGCCTAGTGGTTAAAGTTTGGCACACCCCTCTTTGGCGGCCCAGGTTCAGTCCCTGGGTGCAGAACCAGACCGTTCATCTGTCAGTAGCCATGTTGTGGCAGCAGCTTACATAGAAGAATCAGAAGAACTTACATCCATACAAAACTAGGTCCTGGGGCTTCGTCGGGGAGAAAGGAAGAGAAAAAGGAGGAACATTGGCACTAGATGTCAGCTTAGGGTGAATCTTCCTCTGCAAAAAAAAAAAAAAAAAAAAAAAAGAGGAAATTCTGCTATTTGCGACAACATGGATGGACCTGGGAGACATTATGCTGAGTGAGATAAGGCAGACAGAGAAAGACAAACACTGTGTGATCCTACTTATATGTGGAATCTAAAAGCAAAAAGTACAACACCAAACATGTAGAAAAAGAGATCAGACTTGGTTACCAGAGGCAGAGGATGGGGGAGAGGAAATGGAGGAAGGTGATAAAAAGGTAAAAACTTCCAGTTATAAGATAAGTTATAAGTTATATAAGTTATAAGATAATAGGTATTTCAGATGCAATGTACAGCAGGATGACTATAGTTGACACTGCTAGATGATAGGAAAGTAGTTCCGAGAGTCAATCCTAAGTGTCCTCATCACAAGGAGAAGCTGTTTTGCTTTTCTTTTTATTGTGTCTATGTAAGGTTTCTACTAAACCTATTGTGGTCATCATTTCACAATATGTAAATTAAACCATCATGCTGCACATCTTAAATTTATGCAGTGATATATGTCAATTATCTCTCAATAAAACGGGAAGAGAAAGACTTCTTTTCTATTTTCGTAGTGTAGCCCAGTGCTCCGTCCACCAGGCCTCGTGCCACGCAGGAGTCTGAGCACAGCTCCTTCTACAGGTTCAAGTTCTCTGTGTTGAACACCACACCCTCACGAGCAGAAAGCTCAAGAACAAGTGATCCTTGTGGTTCTTCCTTCTGTTAGTTTCTCCTGAGAATCAATGGGCACTCTTTCTACTATTGTTCTTCCACACACATTCCTATCTCATAACTCACTGGATCAATTTATCAGTGTCTTATCTTTCTCTAACTCAAACTTCAGCATAAAACAGTCATCAGTCTAGTCAGTTTTTTAGTAAAAACAAAATATAAATCATCTACTGGAGGACATGTCAGAGTCGACTGAGTGGAGTAAGAAACAATCTCGAAATTCCAGTGGCTAAACACTATAAATGTCTGTTTTTTGTAGCCGAGTGTTGGCAGACAGAGACCTCTGCTCCCCAAGCTAATTCAGGGACCCAGGCCACTCAGGTCAAGTGGCTTCCCATTCATTAGGGCCCTGACGTCCTCAACTGGACCTTCAGCATCAGGTTGACAGATGAGTGAAAAGAGAGTGTGCTGCCTTTAATCACGTGAGCCCAGACACGGATTACTTCTTTTCACGTTCTATTGGAGAGAATTTGTCACATGGTCCACAGTGAAAGGGTGCAGAATGTAATTTAGTGGTGTCCCAAGAAAAATGAAAGCATGGATAGTAATGAAAATACTAGGCAGTCTCTGCCACAGCAGAATTCCACCTTTCTATCACTATAACCTACTATTTGGTGGCCTAAAATATTCTCTGCCTTTCTTTTTTTTTTTTTTTTTTTGCTATCATCCACATAATCCATTATTTATTTCTCTTCCTTTCTCTTTTACGTAGGAGAAGGCATTAAAATAAAATCTTGGTTCAGATGTCTTTTATTTTCCTACCCCACACTTTTAAATCATTAAATATGTCCCTGAGATTTCTTGAGAGCTCTCATTTATATGCAACTTTGTGCACTAGGTAAAGTGTGATCAATAGGTTTGAATTGTTTAATGTCTCTCTCCATCATCTCTTTAATATAGTAAAATAAGGGCCGGCCCTGGCCTAGTGGTTAATTCCACGTGCTCTGCTTTGGTGGTCCAGGGTTTCACAGTTTCGGATCCTGGGTGCGAACATGGCTCTCCTCATCAAGCCATGCTGAGATGGTGTTCCACATAGCAGAGCCAGAAGGACCTGTAACTAGAATATGTAACTATGTACTAGGGGGGCTTTGGGAAGAGGAAGAAGAAGAGAAAAAAAAGATTGCAACAGATGTTAACTCAGGTGCCAATCTTTAAAGAAAAAAATAACAAAATAAACTACTTCATGGAAAACCACATTATGCGGTTGCCTCTGAATGTTTGAGTAAGAGAATCACCACCTAGCACTACAAATATTTTCAATATCAGGACAAAAACAGATCTTTTCCTGATTATTCTTTGGAGTGTGGCTTTTGGTTCTTCCTCACAAGATTTCTTTCACCCTTCAAAGATGCCGCTTTACTCCTGTAACAGGATGTGCTTTGGAACCAGACATATCCGGACTGAAATTCTAACCCTGCCACTTATTAGTCACATGATACTGGCCAAGTTATTACTTAAACTCTCTGAATCTCAATAGCTTCATCAGTAAAATGGAGAAAATAGATCAGTTTTTCTGGGTTGGTTTAGAAGGATCTGAGAGCATATGCATAAACACTAATTTCCATTCAAGGAATGGTGTATATTTTCCTATTTCTCCTTTGGATTGTGTTGTTCTTCTGAATAACTTCTTAACTCATTTTTGCATCCTTTCTGAGTGCTCTGACTCTTCCTTCCTGATTATTTCCTCAAGCCAATGCGTTGAAAAATTTGTGTCAAGACCTTTTGCCTTCTCCTTCTATAGGAAAACCAGCTTGACTAATTGTTTACATTAGTGCTCTTCAATTCAAGAAAATTTTCTAGCACATGCTTCTTGGAAGTTGATGAAGAATTCTGATGATTCTCACTTATCCTCAGTCTCAAGTTTCCTGCAATCCTTTGCAGTTCTGTCATATGTTAACACAGTAAACTGTCTGCTGTGCTTCTGGTCATTTGACAGCTTCTGAGGGCTTTCTCATACCTGACTCCTTCATTTCTCCTTACACGTAACTTTGGCTAACCTCAACTATTATCAATCACTTTGATTTAAATTCCCAGTGTCTAATGCCCAGTGTGCTTTAGTAATCATGAAACTATGACCATCTTTTTCTTGCTACTAAGAACCATAAGTACCCAATAATTGGTACATGGAAATATCGGTTTTTTTATTGAGTAGTATGCATTTGATGTAAATTTTAATTTATAATATGCACATCTTTGAACATAATCCTAGTTGAAGTATTAAGACATATTTTGCTTTCTTCTACATTTTTATGCCTGAATAGAAAAGGCTGAAAAACTGTGGTCATCATCTTATAGTCAAATTTTAAAGCATTTTTAAAAGGTTCTACTTTATTGCTAATTAACTGTTCTTCAGCATTTATATCACGTCGATTTTTGAACTCTTGGTTGTGCTATCAAATATGTGTGCAAAAAATCATTTTGGTTATGTGAATACTAATTCTAAATATGACAACTTTTTAACATTTACATGATATTAATTTAATATTATAGTAATGTTTATTTTACATCAACATTCATTTTTCCGGTTTTTTGGAGTAAGTCTTCTGTGCTAATTAAATTTTTCCATAGCTGACTTTCTACAGTCCAAAATGGTAGAATTTAAAGAATTTACAAGTGGAGTCATAGGCACTAAACTTTTATAATCTTAGTTAACATTTTATTATTTCTACTCCCTATTAATATAGAAGGGAAACAAGCTAGTGAAATTTAACAGTGATCTCTATCATGAATTGTTTGATAGTCAGAAGAGAGAATACATGTGAGGCAAATGGTGCAATACTCCTGGGATAGCACCTTCTCATACTGCCCGTTGCAGTGAAGCCAGGTCCAGAAGAATGAGCTCCTCCTGATCAAAGAAAAAGCAGATGAGATTTGAAACTTGGTAGGTAGTGATTGGATTTTTCAGTCTTCTGGAAAGTTAAAGTCTGACCCAAATGTACACTTCTGTTTTTTTTCCTTTGAGAGAGCCAAGAGCATGAGATAATAATTCCAAGCATCTCAAATACCAAGAGATGCCAAGTCTGATGCATTATTTTCTATTTCATGAGCTCAGGACAGGATGCTCAGCTCATAAACACATTTAGGGACCTTTATGGGACACAAAACCACTTACACAGCACTACAAGTCTCCATTTTTACTTCCCCTCCAAATTAATTTTTTATGACTTCTCAGGGAGTCTCTCCAATTCCCTATGCAGATTGTGAAATTTTGATTAAACATTTAATGAGATTCTTTGCATAGATCTCTCTTATTTCCCAAGCTCCTTCATTCTACCATGTTTATTTAACTCAGTGGCTCACTCTAAAATAAACAATTTAAAGAAACTCATTATCCTTTTATAAATTTACAGCATACAGTTTTTTCAGCCTGGGTCTCTATAGTTGCAGGCATGGGGGATCAGCACTGGCCACCCTAGAATATGTCTCTTTGGCTTGATTATTTTTAACAACAGAAGACTCTGAAAGAAACTTTGACCTTCCCCCTAACTGCCTAAAAGAATCTAAAATAGAAGGGCCTGTTACAGGAAGGAGCTAATACCAAAAGATAACTGTAATGCAATGTAAAATGTGTCTCTCAGGTCACATTGTCCATAGTTGGCCTATTTGCATTTCCATCTCCATGTAAATCGCCTTCCTCCCTGTTGAAGTCCCAAACCACCACCCCCAACACCCTCCTTTGTCTTTAGCTGAAGATAGTGTTTAAAGTGGCAGCTTTGGCCATTCTGGGAGTTATTCAGTTGTCCTGGGTTTCTCCCATGTGTACATGTTACAAAACTTTGTTTGATATTCTCCTGTTATTCTGACTCGTCAACTTAATTCTTAAGCCAGCCAAAAGGACCCAGAGGGTAGAGGAATTGTCCTCCTCTACTACACATGTATTTTGAAAATTTATATTCATCTGATCATTGTTGAAAGCCTACTATGTGCTAATCACTGTGCCTGGGAATGAAAAAGACACAGAAAAATAAAATGGTGATTTCTTCTCTCAAATAGTTCACAGTATATTTGAAGACATAAAAAAAAGGTATTTACAATATGAAGGTGAGATGAACACAAATGACTACGAAATACCTGGTGCACTGGTACTTTCTGGCACATTATTTCTTCAGTATAGTATGGATATAAATTCACTCAAAAAATAATCTAGATTTATTCATTCAGTGTAAACAATACAATTAGTTAGTGCACTGTCTTGATCTTTCTACCAATAAATATCCAGCATATCACATAAATACATCTATAAAAAGTAACCTTTGTTTTATATTATTATTATGGTGATGCTTATTAATGTGTGTCTCTGGCATTCAATATTTCAAGCATATACCACAGATTGTCATGTTAAAATAAGGTGAAATAATTATAAAAGAAAAATTAAAGCATCTCTGATGCAAGACTAGAGCACAGAGAATAGTAAGGATGAAGCAGCCAACTGTGTCTGGGCTGAGGTGTTAGGCAAGGCTTGCCAACCTTGGAGAGCCTTTATCAAGCAAACAATGGACTGTTAAGAGTGGGAACTTCTTTTTCTTTTTTTGTGGGAGCTGCAAAAGATGTATAGATTTGGGGGAATGTTGTTGGACTGACTGGTTATCACTGAGATTTTTGAAGGAGAAAATGCCTGGGAGGAGACCAATTATGATATCCTTGCAAAATACTTCCCACCCAAGAAGGGGAGATCTAATGTTTTGGAGAAGCAAGATGGGTTCAAGAACTATTTTACGCAGAAGGAAAAAAACTTGGTGACTACTTAGATAAAAGGAATAAAAACGAAACAAAAAGTAAGACTTTGGTGGAAGGAGGTTGTTGATTTACTTAAGCAAAATAAGAAATTTAAAACACCCAGAGACTTTTATGGATAAAATTAGATGAAAAAACAGAACTATTTATTTATGATGCCTACAGTGCATCTAAACAGGAATATCCAAAAGGTCTCGTAAATATAAATTGGAGCTCAAAAGATAAGTTGAAGTTAGATATAACGGTGAGAGTTACAGGTGAAGCTGAGAGAGAAGGCTGATAGCAGACCACAAAGATGTGTTGCTGACCTGTGCTACATTTATTGTCTAGGCCAAAATCACTTTGGATAGATCAAGTTGTTTTAGCTATCTTATTCAAATAGCACAGTATTGGAAGCTAGAGGATCATTGTTTGAGGAGCAGGTCAGACCTTTAAATTTTCTCCATCTCGATTTGCTCATTTATGAAGTATTTATAAGAATATTCATTTTACTGAGCTGTTGAAATTTTCAAGAAAATATAAATGAGAAAAAAAATCTGACTAAAATATGTCCATAAGAGATCCCTTTTAAATTTGAAATCCAGACATATTGAAAATAAAAAGATGGAGAAAGATACACTATGCAAATAGTAAGCATACAAAAGCTAGAGTGGTTATACTCATATGAGGCAAAATGAATTCAAGAGAAAAAGTATAAAAAATAGAGATATTGCATAATGATAAGATGGTTAATTCTTCATGACGATATTAAGTCCTATGTACATGCAAAAACTTGAGATGAGTAAAAAGAAAAATATAGAAAAAGCCACAGTCAGAGATGGAGATTCTAATACTCAACTCTCATCAATTGATAGGACAAGGAAAAAAAATCAGAAATGATACAGAAGATTTGATAATGTTATTACTACTTTGAACTTATTAATATTTATAGAACAACACTTCACCCAAAAATTACAGAGTACACATTATTTTCAAGAGGACATAGACTGTTCACCAAATTAATCATACACTGGGCCATAAAGCCAATATCACTACATTTCAAAATAATGAAATCACTTAGAATATGCTCTTCGAACACAGCAAAATTAAACTAAAATCCAGAAATAATATTATTAAAATTCAATAATATATTCTAACTCTCCTCCCCCCAAGTGTTTTGAATTTAAACAACATACTTCTAAATAACCCAGGGGTCAAAGAAGAAACCCCAAAGGGTTTAAAAATATTGTTAACCAGATGATAATAAAATACAGTATATCAAAATATCTAGAGTGTGACTTTAGGAAACAAGAAAAGTTTAAAATCAGTGTTATATCACAGTCCATCTTAAGAAGCAAGAAAATCAAACCAAAGGTAAAGAGAAGGAAGGAATGATGAGAAGAAATTAATGAAATGTAAAAAACACAAACAATGGGGAAGATTAACAAAGATGAAAATTGGTCCTTTGAAAGGACCAATAAAATTAAAAAACACTAGTAGGATTGATTGAGAAGAGGAACAAAAAAAATAAAACACTAATTACCAACAGTAATGAAAGAGAGCTCATCTCTGTAGATCTTTCAGACATTAAACAGATAATAAAGGAATGTTATGAACAACTTAGGTAAAAATTTGACAACCTAGATAAAATGAACAAATTCCTTAAAAAACACAACTTTTCAAGACTGATAAAAATAGAAAATGTCAAGAGCTGTATATTAAATATTATATTTATATTATATTATATTATATTATTATTTATATTAATATTATATTTCTATTTATATTAAAGAGATTAAGTTTGTTATAAAAAACCTTCCCATAAATAAAATTTCAGATTCAAATGATTTCACTAATGTTTCTTACCAAATATTTATGAGGAAATAATATCAATCTTATCCAAAATCTTTTGGAATATAGGGGAGGAAGGAACATATCCAAATCTATTTCATGAGGCATGCTTAGTTCTGTTACTAAAACTCAAAAATGACACTAGAAAGTCTAGAGTCCATTATCCTCCATGAACATAGTGACCAAAAATCCTTAACAGTAGCAAAAAGAACTCAGCAACATACAAAAATAAAAATTCATTATGAGCTGGTAGAGTTTATCCCAGAGATGCAAGGGTGATTTAACAGTCAAAAATCAGTTAGTGTCGTTCATCATATTAAGAGAATAAAGGAAAAAATGTATCTCAATAAATGGAACAAAAGCATTGGGCAAAATTTAAAACGCATTCATCAAACTTGGAATCAAAGGAAATTTCCTTAATCTGAAAAAGAGCATCTACAAAAAATACCTATACCACATCATATTTAATGGTAAAATAAAGAAAGTTTCCCTTCAAGATTGAGAAAAAGAAAAGGGTATCTGCTCTCACCATCTCTATTCCAACATTGTATTGGAGTTTCTAACCAATGGAATAGGGCAAGATAAAGAAACAATAACCATAAAGTTTAAACAAAGTGTTAAAACTCTTTATTAGCAGATATCAGAATTATTTACATAGGAAATCTTAAGAAATCTAAAAAGCAAGCTCGTAATACTCAGAAATAATTTTAATAAGATCATAGGATACAAAGCCAATATACATAAGTCAACTTCACTTTTTTTGTGCTAGAGGCAGTAAATTAGAAAAGGAAAATTTAAAATCCATTTACAGTAACATAAAAAATATAAAATACTTAGGATTAAATTTACCAAAAGGTGTTAAGCCACTGCACATTGGAAACTATAAGACATTCACGAGAAAAATTTAAAAGATCTGAAAAACTGGAGAGATGAACCATGGTCATAGACTGAAAAACTATTATTAAGATAATACTTCTCTTCATTAATCTTTAGATACAACTCAATCCCAATCAACATCCGAATAGGCTCTTTTGTAGAAATTCAACAACTGATTTTAACTTTATATGGAAATGCAACGGATCTTGGATGGCCAAAACAATTTTTAATAAGAACCAAGCTGGAAGAACTTCTATCTGCTTTCCAGACTTTCTATAATGCCACTTGAATCGTGCTAGCATGAAAACAAAGCGATCAATGGAACAAGGGAGAGAGTTATTTGATTTCTAACAAACGTGCCAAGGTCATTCAATTGTGGAAGCGAAGTCTTTTTAGCAAATTGTG